GAAAATGATCGTAAGAAATATCTACAGCTTGCTGGTCGGATACTGCTGATTTTCCTGTTCATCGGGTTCATCTTCAGTGGTGAATTGTCTCTTCAGCGAGTGATTGTGTCAATTATCGGACTTATTGCATGCATAATAGACAAGTGTTTATTAAATCGGAGAGAGAATGCACATAACATTGACTTTGACTAAACTTACATTTATGTGGCCATTCTGTATAAATCGTTTATAGTCTGTCTTTTGTATCGTATTTTTGAAACATATATGCGTATACTGTACCTGGAAATGCACTGATCATGTCCTTTTGACATGCATCAATAAACGTCGCGTGTCATCGGTCAGAAATACCGGTTATGTAGCCAAAGTTTACTTGAATATAGAAAAGTACGAGATTATAATTTTTTAAAACCATTGGAGGTTGCCAGTTGCAGTATATTTTACGTCGAAGTCATTCTATATACAATCCTTGACTTGTATATGTATTACATTGGGAAAAGTTGTTTTTACGTTTAAGCTTTAATCAAATATACGTATAACATGCGGAAAAGCAGGTACGGAGTGGAAATTTGTTGTTTTTATTTAAAGCTAAAGTCCACTAAACCTTTTAATTCTCTTTTCTAGCATTTATATATAACATTTGGCACCGTTGTAAAAGGATTTATTAAATCGATACTCTCGAATTCAAAAAAATCCGCGCGAGACTTGCATCTGCAAATTGGACATACAGTAAATCTCGGTTCTATCATGTTCTTGAAGACTCGGATCTCAGAATTAAAAGCAAGAGTCAAATTGACGAGAACATAAGCAAGCCAAGTTTAAAGACATTCTATATTGTTGGTATATATTTACTTCGAGAAATTGTTGCACGACCCCCCGAAATTTTTTGCGCACCCTGTATGGTATTGTTATACGTCACTGATTTTTTTCGGCATACTTTGAGCATTGCAGTTGACTCCAAACAACTCTACTAGAAAAAAACAATTATCGCAAGTCGCTCGTCGAGATTACATCCAGAAGTACTTTGGTCTAGTGACTTATTCTAGACGCGTATGATTCTTTGCTGATATGCGACGATTTGTAAGAATACTGGTTGTCGGTGACGGTAAAGCATATAGTCAAACACTCGTGTTGGTGGTGTGTAAATTCGTAGACACTACGCTAAATAAATAACCATATGCTGATGAGTCATTTGATCTACGGTTTGTTGGCTTAAAGAGGGTGTTGGAAAGAGTACTTTGATTACGTCGCTTATCAGGGAAACCTTTGTAGCTAATGTAAGTATTATAACGTATTTGCATGGCTATTGTATTCTCTCACTGATCCCGATCTACAACGTATTCCAAGATTCAACACATTGTTCCTGAAGTGACAATTCCCCCACAAGTCACTCCTGAGAATGTGACTACTCACATAGTGGATTCGTCAGGTAATTCATAATTGCTCACGCAATTTGCCTATTAATCAATATTCGACTAATGTCACTTTGCATAATCAGCTCGCCCCGAGTATCGTGAGCAATTGGAGGCCGAAATTAGGAAAGCACATGTGATTTGTATTGTATATGCAATTAACGATCCACACACCTTCAATCGCCTTGCTTCCTATTGGCTGCCATATATTAGAAGTCTCGGTGTGAATGTAAATCAATCAATGAATGAGAGAATGCAATTAGAATAATGATAAGTTGGAGATAAGCGATGCTAATCATATCATCTCTTAGGTGCCTGTTGTGCTAGTTGGTAATAAGATTGATCTACGAGAGGATCATGACGCTAGTTCATCAGTTGAAGAAGAAATAGTACCAATAATGAGCGATTTCAAGGTAACCTGATCAACGCTAAACTAACCATTTGGATTTATTTATAGCAATGGCTTGTATGTGACATCAAAGTACGCAATTGCATCAGCAAAATCTCATCTAAAGCACTCATGTGTCAACTAGGAAGTAGAAACATGCGTGGAATGTTCAGCAAAGTTACCAATGAATGTGTCCGAAGTCTTTTATTTTGCTCAAAAGGCAGTTCTACACCCGACAGCACCGCTGTATGATTCTCGGGCACATGTACGTATCCGATTGTGATAGATGTGCACCATGATTCTGCATGAACATATTATGCTCCAATTTATTAACTCTATAATATTAATTTATCCGAATCTTTTCAACACTCAAAGGTATTGAAGCCTGCTTGTATTGAAGCTTTAAAGAGAATCTTCAATCTCTGTGATGCTGATAAAGATAATGTGCTAAACGACGACGAATTGAACGAATTTCAGGTATATTTAGGGTTGAGATAATAGTCATTATATGTATTACTTGGGCACTTCCTCAGTTGATGTCTCTATTATTCTTAGCGTAAATGTTTTAATGCGCCTTTGCAACAACAAGAACTCGAGGGTGTAAAAGAAGTAGTAAAAGATAACGAACCAGATGGTGTCAACATTGTTGGGCTGACAGAAAAAGGATTCTTGTTCCTCCATACACTCTTTATACAACGGGGGCGCCTAGAGACAACATGGACTGTCCTGCGGAAGTTTGGTTACGGTGATGACCTGACTTTGAGGGAAGACTTCTTATACCCGCGGTAAGTGATTTGCTATATATATATATTGTACATGAAAAATTTTATTCAAGTTGTGTCGAAAGACTACTAATGTTCCTTAGTCAATATTCATGCCACCAAATTATTATAATTACCGCAGACTCGACGTGCCACCAGATTGCTCGGCAGAATTAAGTCCAAATGGTTATCAATTCTTCATTGACATTTTTCAAGTATTTGATAAGGTACAACAAACACCGTATTCTTATGGCACAAGTAATTGAATATATTTAAAATTTTTCTACATTATTTAAAGGATAAAGATGGGGCACTAAAAGATGATGAATTGGAGCATCTGTTCAGCACTGCACCGGAAAATCCTTGGCTTAACACTGAATTTCCACATACGACAATTACAAACGAAGCGGGTGCTGTAACATTGCAAGGCTGGTTAGCTCAATGGAGGTGCGTCTCTTTTATTACATATTTTATTTTTGATTACCTCATCCCCTCAGTAATGCCAATCTCGTCGGCTTAACTTTTGTGCTCGTTATTCATAACCATATTGTAATAAGCATGACAACATTATTAGATTACAAAAAGGCATTGGCATATCTGGCTTATTTGGGTTTCGAAGGAGATACAAGAACCGCATTAAAGATTACACGACCAAAGAAGATCGAGAGAAGGAAGAACAATATAACTCGAAATGTGTTTCTGGTATACGTATTTGGAGCTGCAGGTTCAGGGAAGGTAAGGCATCCGGGACGATCGTTTGGATGATTGAACAAAATCCTAATACCATTTAAACAATCAATCTGTAGACTTCGCTTTTACGGGCGTTTGTCAATAAGCCATTTACAGATGGGTATACTCCGACTTCAAGAAAATTGAATGCTGTTAATTCTGTTGAAATAGAAGGTGCAGAAAAGTACTTAGTGGTAGGTGCTAAACTCACACCAAATGCACATCAGCAAAGAGCAATGTTCTTGGTACCTAATTTTTTATATTTGTTTCTCTAACGGAAACGTATTGACAAGCTTTGTTTTACTAGCTTCAGGAATTCGGGTCCAAATACGAGGCAGAGATACTTCAAAATAAACGAAAGTTAGAAGCATCTGATTTGTTATGTTTCGTATATGACTCCAGCGATGCTAATTCATTCTCATATATAGCCGATCTTCGGGTAAGCTGTGAATGATGTGGTATCGATTGGAGTCTATTCGGTTCAAGAATTACAATAACATTTATTTACACACTATTCATTCAGAAACGACACGACTTGGATCATCTGCCGACAATAATTGTGGCGACGAAAAGTGACTTGGATTTAGTCCAACAAGTAAGACTATTAATTGGCTGAGAATCTAAGTAATATATATATGATACTAATTCATCAATCCGCATTGTCAAATGACATCTTGTCATTTCTTTACAAAGCGTCACGAAGTCCAGCCAGATGTCTATTGTCGCAACTTAGGTCTCAACACTCCAATTAGCGTGTCCGTTAAAGAGCGGCAGACCGCAGATTTATGGATTCTACAAACGAGTATTGCAATGCATCCAGCTAATGCAACCCCTGGGCTGTCGGACTCTTCCCATGGCTCATCACGTGTAAAACGGTATCTTACTGCTACAGCAATAGTTGGAGCTATACTTGGAGCGGCATTTGTGGGATTTAAATTGTATCTTCACCATCGGGGATTGGGGCATAGTGCGACAAAGTAATTAAAGAAATGACATAGACAATTTTGTGTTAAGAATAATATATGTTGTGCACGAATGCAAAGGTTTAAGAACTAGTGATATCACGTCTAGAGATTCTGCTTTGAATGTGATATCGCCAGCAATGGCTTGAAAACAATGTTTAAAGATTTTCATCAAATATCCAAGTAGTAATAAACTAATCGTCTTATAGATATGTGTTTCAGTCTTAGTTCTGGGAGTAACTAAGGAATTATGGGTTTAGTTCATTCAACGCGTCTCATCACGGATTTGTTCACCAACGCGTAGCGGATGCATGGACAGTGAATGATGTTGGTCAGTGATAAATGCCTTCTTGAAATCGCCATTTTTATGACATAGACTGGGCATTCTATGTAAATAAAAAGGCAAACATGTTGAATCAGACCCAATTTATGGTTATCATGCGTTCGGGTTCTCTTTTTTATAGGAGTGATAAACACGTTTTTGATCACTATTGGCTAAGCTTTTTTGTAATAGTCCATGTTTTTGAAATGTCATAGCTAATCTTTATTCCCAGAAAGGAAGGTGATCGGCGCGCAACATTGCAATCTCCAAAGTCACGGATTGTTGTTAGTTCTCTCTCCTGCCTACGAGCGACCATCAAAATGTTGTAATCAAGGGAGGAAACAAATTTTACCCAACAAATATAGTTGCAAAGTCTTTAGAATATATCGGATATAAGGTTATTCAAACTATGCTTCATTTTTGTGTCAAAAACGCGCATGTTAAGCTTAATCCACGTGACTCAGGCACAAGGCTACTTATTCTTATTGATTATTTCCCGAAATAGAAAAACGCGTTTCACGCGTTTCTTACATAATAAGTGAATGCATCCCTTCAATCTCTCAACATTTCGTAATTTGTTCAGTAAACGCGATGCCCAACTTAAGACAGAGAACGTACAAACAGCTCGCTCCTTACTCTGCCGAGCGTCGGGAAGCTCAACGGAAGGGCTTACCAGTAGAAATAGATGCGATCGTTTTTGCAGAGGAAGCTATTTTGGAAATTGAGAGAGAGTTGGAGAGCGACAGTGACAGGGAGATATCTGTCTTGGGTAGTGAATCCGCTGACGATATTGAAAAAGAACGGGAGGATGAGCTTGAAGAAAGTGATGACTGTGAAGACAATAACGAGAACGAGGATGAGGAAGAACTTGACGACGAATTCTATAATTTTCAGAATCGTAGAGTGAAGAGTGTTGCCGTTCGATCCCCGCTCCGTGAATGTAATAATCATGAAGTGACAGTGATTCCAAGTGACGAAGAAGAGTATTGCCAGAAATGTAAGACCGTGCTTGAATTTGGTACTCAACTAAAGATTCATTGACTTGCACTCACAGTTAAACGTTTTCTACAGACGAAATACTTAAAAAGACGTTACCAAAATTCGCTTCCGACGATTATCCCAAATATCTTCGGGAAGTCCGTACATTCTTGTCTACTAGCAAGAAAGATTCGGACAAAATCTCTCTACTAAGACGCCTATACGGATACATAAAACAAATAACGCCACTTACCACGGAGAATCCTGTTTATATTCGTAACTGTTACAGAACAATAGTCTTTCTAGCAAAAGTTGCTCCTGTCACATTTCGTCCTCTGGAAGATTATTATCGTATTTTCAAAGCGAATCATTCTAAAAAGCTAAAAGACCTTCAACCATTGAGGATGCTTTTTTACGAGTTTAACGGTCAGTTGGCTACTGTTTTGGGAAACCGTAGGGAAGACTGGAAATTCAATTCTCTGGTCGCAGAACAGTTGGAGAGAATGGTATTTGCCGTCGGGTCGTACGTACGAGTGACAGTACGCAAAAAAGATTGGAATGAACTTTGTCAAAGTCTATCAGGATTGACGGCGTGCCTTAGTCACACAACACAAATTACACATGACGATACGAGGGTATGTCATCTGAAAGGCTTTTATTAGTTATCAACGAGTAAACGCCCAAGCACTCAACGATCCGTTTCTATTAGGCTCTTCTGAATCAGCTTAACGATGATTTATCTCGATTGGCTCTTGGCATATTTAAACAAGGTGAATTTTTTTGTTCTGTTAATCGTTTGTCCTTTACAAGAAACTTACATTTTTGTAGATGCATATACAAAAATAAAAGTCCAACGACCGCCGAACGAACGTGATCAGTTTAAACTGCAAAGACTGTCTGCCGAATGTTGGGCAGCTGTATGGGCACTGATGGATCGTTGTGGCATTGAGGTATTTATTATAATAACCATTGTCCATTACGCACGATTACGTGTTCTGTCTATTCACAGGTCTTTTTTAATATCGGCAATAGAGTTTGAATCAATTATTCGAATCATCTAATTCATGGTGGATTGTTCCTGATTCTAAATTACGACGACAATTGGGTTTGCTGTTTTGCAATGGAATGTTGAAAGCTGGATATCAATTAAAACGAACACTTGATGTAATGTATCGTAATAATCATTTAATAATGGTTTATGATTACTACATCAGATTAAATGCTGTGAGAATCGCCACTTCATAGGAAATCGAGCGTCGATTCTCGAAAGTATTATTCTACTCCTTCCTAGATTCGGAATTGGCGGACGACGCAATAGACTATGCAACACGCTTGAAACAAGAATATCATGAGATCAGCAGAAAGTCTCTTGACGTGGGATCGGGTGCAGCCTGTATATTTATAACTTCACATAACAAGAAACTGACAAAAGATACAAGAATCGAGTGGATGAGAAGTAAGAATTGTATTATTGTTTTATTACGTGTATTTATCATTGATCTTGATGCCATTAACCATCGACTGTCGATATTATACAGCCCTCGCCCTAAATAGTATTAAAAGAATTCAGATGTGTGTTGATGAGACTGAGCAATTAAAGTTGTGCGAAGATCTAAAAATGCTTTGGCGTTCCATTGATGAGGTAAGATGTCATTTTTCGTTTATGTTAATTGAGAATACAAAGTTGTTCAGAATATTCTGTAACCCCATCTTAGATGCTTCGCAATAATGCAACTCCACAAAATGAGCGGAAACAATTGGAAGACCACATGATACCACTGCAAAGACATTTCAATAGTCAGGTGTTGTTTGCTAATGTTTGACATTTACTGAACACATTCCGATGGCATAATCATCGTCCCGGTTAATCCTCACATGGTAAATGTATCTTTAAGACTGTTGATCGTTGTTGCTTTTCGAGGTATTCGTCGGCAACATCGGTAGAATCAGCGTTTTCACGCATTTATTATATTGCATAATTTAATTTGCTAAAAATTTAATACAACGTAAACGAATGTAATAATATAGGGAGAAAATTTCGCTAGAGCTCATAGACGGCCAATCTTTTTGCTTATATTTAAATTGTATAACTTGTGTGAAGGGTCCAATAGAGCCGAAGAACTAATTTTATAATATAAACATTTGTAACCCATACGACAGACTTGATTGCGATGATTATTCCAAAAGACGATACACCAATGCACAAGGATGAGTTTAATTATCATAAGAACGCATTTTGACAATTCTTTCAGACATGTGCTAATGAACGTTTACGGTTGATGGGCATGTAAATACATCGATATCACGTAAATCACTAATACTATCCCAGTCGGTATAATAAACTAATCTTTAACACGTTTTTTACGGAGTAATTTCCAATAATAGAACAATCCTTATTAACTAAGTTACACAAAACATCGTACAAATAGCTGAAATCTACCACATCGTTAAGCTTGAATAGTGGTTATTAGACCGATCATTACTTAATAGCATTGTCTGTAACAAAAGGCATAACAATAAAGGCTTTATAGATTTTGAAGATCTGTCCATCGTCATTTGATAGTTTTCAATGGATATTATTGTCTTTCTATACTTGCCGCGTAAACATATGATTGGACAATACATTGCTGTCCGAGTAAGGTGATCAATAATTCCCAAAAAATTTTGGGGGACTTTTGAATCTCGCTTGGAGAGACGATTCCCCATAGTATTGTTGTCAACCCTTTTGTTCCGGAACGCATTTCCAGCAAAAGCGTAGTAATAGTAATAGTCTCTGTTCCAAATCTTACAAAAAATTTAAAGGTCCATACTTTATTATCCCTTATTCCCAACGCCCTCTTGACGCTTTCCATTTTAGCCTTAGCGTTAACTTCACCGACTAGGCTTTACTCCCTTTTTTTCCACATATTTATTGAGGAAAGAAATTCTATTAGTTTCTTGTACGAGGAGGCCTTTTCATGCTCGTATTTCTATAACTTACTGTCTCAGTGGAAGCCATTGGTTTTTTAGTTCTCCAAAACTATTATTTATCTCGTTCCGATTTAAAGCGGGCACTGGGAACTTCTTGCGCAAACTTTGTGCTCATATGCCACTCTACAATACTTCATATTGCACAAATAGATTTCACTTTCTCTTTCTTTTCACATAAATTGTCAAGTGCCCAGGTCAAGCTTTTCGAGCGTTCGAACAAGGTCTGTAACATATAACTTATTCTTGTCTATTAGCTTGTTTTCTTTGACTTAATGTGAATACCTGGTTAATTAAAACTTTATTTTACGTTTTACGTAACAATACTATAAAAAACTCTTGCTTCGAATGTTAATAAAACAAGGTCCAGGCAACACCTATAACGGAGATCAGTAACGACCGCTATAACAAGATTCGCAGAAAATTATGGGTCAAACCTCATCAAAGAAACGAGAGTCACGAAGCACGCCTAGTTCCACCAGTATTGGTGGTGCGTCGATGGTAGAGGAAAAAGATACTAATCATTCTAACAATGACACTAATGGCTCGGTTAGTGGAATTGCACCTGATATCGTAATGAACGGAACGTCAGAGGGTAACAACACACCAACCTCACCAACCTCACCAACGATGGAACCAATTCTTCGACGTCCAAGTTCCTTGGGACCGTCCGGTAACGGCAACGATCTCTTCAGCAACGATGTAACTCTGTCGTCTACCTTAACAATCGGCCACCATAATCAAAAAGATAATAAAACCATCAATATTGATGATATGATACAACGATTACTTATAGCCGGAAACTCTAACAAAGTATCAAAGTCCGTGTGCCTTCGCAACGCAGAAATATCCGGAGTCTGTCAATTAGCACGTGAGGTCTTCCTATCGCAACCATCTCTTATAGAACTTTCCCCACCAGTAAAAATTGTTGGAGACATCCATGGGCAGTATTCTGATCTTATCCGACTATTTGATATGTGTGGATTTCCTCCAGCAGCCAATTATCTTTTTCTGGGAGATTACGTAGACCGTGGCAGGCAAAGTCTGGAGACCATATTGTTGTTGTTTTGTTACAAAATTAAGTATCCAGAGAATTTTTTCTTGCTAAGAGGAAATCACGAGTGTGCGAATGTAACACGAGGTAAAATTATTTTCAAAAGTTTCGTAATGACGAGAATGATTTTTGCGCTGGAACTTTTTGTGTGGCGCATTGATCAAGACATGGGCAGGAAGGCGGAGAATGAGATTGAGCTTGTGAAGTGGCAAGATCAATAATGATCACTCGATGCTGGTTCAATATTTTGTCTTTCCATGTATGCATGGTCTTTCTGTTTATCTTATCCTGATAAGTCGCTAACCTGTTCGACTCTTTTTTTTTTCCTGCTTTTATTTACACTTTATTCCTTATTTCAATCTGAACTTTTCTAGTATATGGCTTCTACGATGAATGTAAGCGTAGATCAAGCGTCAAAATATGGAAGACGTTCGTTGATGTTTTCAACTGTCTACCGATTGCGGCCGTTGTAGCTTCCAAAATTTTCTGTGTTCATGGTGGTCTCTCACCAGCTCTATCTTCTATGGACGAAATTCGTCATATCCCTCGTCCAGCCGAAATACCTGATTATGGTCTATTGAACGATTTGCTCTGGTCTGATCCATCTCCAACCGTAATAGAGTGGGAAGACAATGAGCGTGGAGTAAGCTATTGCTTTGGGAAATCAATTGTTAATGAGTTCTTAAAACGGCATGACTTTGATCTTGTCTGTCGTGCTCATATGGTTGTCGAAGATGGATACGAGTTCTTTAATGAGAGAACTCTGGTAACAGTGTTCTCCGCACCGAATTATTGTGGCGAGTTTGATAATTATGGTGCGATAATGGGTGTTAGCGAGGACTTGTTGTGCAATTTCGAACTGCTTAAACCGATGCCGCACAAGTCAAAGAAAAAACCAGGGTATGTGGTTTGATACGCTTGTTCTTCATTAGTATGTGTGATAATTTTTTATGGAATACGAATATTGGCTAAAATTTGTTCATTTTCTTACAGTTACACGCCATTTTCGGCGCACAGTCCACCAGTTATGGGAGTTCCCCAGTCGGTGTGAATGTTGACTATAATGTGTTATATGCGGATGAAGTATTGGCAACCTCCATACACGCATTATACATTAGATTCTGCGAGCGAACATTACGCATTTATCTTATTATCCCAATTTTTTCTGGCTTCATCTTCCTTGCTCCTTTTCAATTCTCGTATAATATTGTTGTATTAAGGATTGTAACATCCATATGCATTTAGATTATCTTTTGCAACTTTGACTCCATTGACACTTGTATTTTTCATACTTTTAGTATAAATCTTCATTACCAAGATATCTGAATCAATTTCTATTTATTGATGAACTTTAAATTTTCGAATAAGGTGACTAGATACTCTTTCTTTGCTGTATCTATACTGGAGATAGCTTTCGGCTACGGAGATGATTTCAGAGAAATGGGTAGGAGCGGACAAGCAAATGACAAGATACGAGACTACTGAGTTATTATTCTTATCTCTTGCTTTCTTATCTTCAGTGTAGATATATTAGGTATTTTGACTAGGTAGTGAATTTCAAATTAAAAAATGGTCTATCGAATGCTAATTCCTAGACACTATAGTCGATTGAATTGGAGAGCAAGGGCAATCTATATGTTGTAGATTAGAACGCTATAGATAGTTGCCAGTATATCTTAGAAAAGTTATATTCATACAACGATTTTGAGTCACTGTTTTTCCACATGGTTTGTGAGTCTCATTGCTAAACCCAACAATAAATGCAAGTCAAGGCAAATTATACTAGTGGACGTAGACTTCTCATGAACAATACAAATTCGATTTCATACAAATGACTAAAAATTTTACAACAACCAAAAACTGCTTACAGAATATTCTAGAATTCACGATAATTCTATTTCTTTGTTAAGTATGTATACTAGATAACTCGGCTGATGACTGAATCATGCGATAAATAAGCTAACAATATTACCATCCATATATTCATTTATCATCGGAAGAATTCTGGCGATGATGCAATCGTTACTCGATTGAGGAAACAGCTGAGGAGGACGATGACAACAATGAGCTTATGCGCGTTCTAAGAAATGACAAGAGAGTGTTGAAAAAACTTTTTCGCGCACTGTATCTTTGGAGTCTTTATGGTTATCGGCGTAATCATTCCTCACTCGGACGGATTTGCCTTGGGTATTGCCGAGAGAGTTGTATGCTCGTAGTCAAAGCTTTCGTAGACAATAGCTTCATTCAATGCAAGCACGTAGCTCCATATAAGATTGCATGTTTCATGCGCGTTTTCGGTTCCGCCATTCAAATACCGACAACCATAAACATATTTAAAGACATTATCCCCAAATTCTTTATTAACCATAAACACATAATCTCTCTCCTCAATGCTAACATCGCCGCCGCCGCCGCCACCCCCAAAAAAGGTTTCAAGCAAAGAAGGTCCTCAGCTCCCTAACCCACAAACTTAAGACCTTATTGGAACGGAAAAGTCGCGGCATGGTCTCAGAAATCGTGGTTACCGACTCTGCCCATACTAGAACCCTAACCCAAGTGCATCGCGGCCCATCGAAAAGAGTTTCTTTATAGTTGAGAATTTATTGAAGGAAATATTAGTAGTTGATTTTATCATATTAGCAAATACTAATGCAACACACTTATAATTACCAACAAATCACTTTCGCTGTCTGAAAAGTCATCAAACTCTGCGTGTGTTTCCCTGACGTCTATATCCATAGCTTCTGTCTCATCTGCAAAGAAGAGTCGCGGTTGGACTATTTTGAATGTTTCAGTTTGGTTTTGTTGCTCCATGTTGGCAAGTTATGAAATCGTCCGCGCGTCCGACGAGAACCCCAAACAAGCTATTGAAACGGTGGATGGGCTTTATTTCACTGAATACTTGGAACGGATAAATCTTGTCTACTTGACTGATTAAGCAATTAAAGGACTGAATTTGTTTTGTTCGTCATTAGAGATTACCAGCCTGGGATGTCTACCTTGTAATTTCTTTTTCTGACTTATCAAATAAAGGCAAGTTGAAGATAAGCTTAAGCTTTACACGGATGTTCGTGTAGGAAAAGACGTTAATGAGCATGAGGACAAGAGACTTCAAAGATCATGCGTATGGGGTGAACGCAACTTCGTGCAAATATTACCGATGAGGCGATTGATGAAGCTAGGTATGATTGTTTATTTATTTTAGTGACAAGATAATTGACCAATGATAATTCTGTCAAAATCCACGTGGAACCGTTTCTATATTAACCAATGATAATTCTGTCAAAATCCACGTGGGAGCCGTTTCTATATCACCCATCTCCACAATCCATCAATAACTAATAAAGGAACGCAAAACTCCAATGCTTTCCGCATTCCGTCATAAGCCTGTTATCACTCTGGACGACAAACGCGATTTGTGGCCGCTTCATTTCGAAAAAAAAAAAAAAGGCATAATAATAAGTGGCCTGTTCCTTACAGAATAACGTCCGATTGCATATTTGCAAAACCAATGAATGGAAATTTTCATGGGTTTACGAGACGCAAAAACACCGCGAAACCCAAGCGGATAGCTATTCATGCAGTTTTTATCGACCCTGGCCCTTCACACGGTACAAGGTGTAGGTAAAATTGGCCAATACGACATTGGACGTCTATGCAAGCATATGGATTATCTTCTTTCTATAAATGACAAGCTGGCTGCCTCTAGTTCAAAACGTAAGAAGAAACAGGCCTTGCGACTTGATAAGGCAATCTTTTTGGATGCGACGAAAAATCAAACACCTGCAAAGCGAAGTTCATAAAAAGAGTGTCGCATTTTTTACTCGACGAATTCGATGCCATTATCATCCCTCCTTTTGAAGTGTCGAACATCAATTTCGCCAACGCCTGGTGGCTAAAGCAGAAGAATTAGGGGTACCATGTTATTATCCAAAATGAGGCCTATACTTCAAAAACTTGCAGCTGGTGTGGGAGCGTTCAAAAAATAGGAGGTACAAGTGCCGAAATTGTGAAAATGGCGCTCCTCCGGGCATTGCTTGATGGAGCCTTGATTCTCTCCGGAGAAATAGTAGTAATGATATGCTACAATCCATCCGGGGTCGGTACAATAATAATAAACAAATTATAATTAATTGTTACAATACTCGGGAAACCCATAGGTATTTCATTTATATCGCACGAACACCTGTTTCACGGAAACGTATTCGGTCATAAGCGCTGGTGAGGACGTACGACTTTCTCACGCTACCATCTTAAGCTTACAATTCCCATATTAACTTGACGTGTCTTTTTATAGATTAGAAGGTATTACGATGTACGTATGTATCTCAAACATAATACATTATTGGCGGAGACAAGTGTTGATCATTACAGTCTAAACTCGGAAATTCACTATATCGAAAACCTTCAAAGTTCTTAATAATAATAATAATAATACTGTTTTTGTATCAGAGGAATCTTCACTATAGTGCAGTGCATATTCACTGACAGTTGTATGTATGTGTTGTGTCCGATATATCAGTTCAGAACCCAGACACAGTCCAGAACTGAGACAGGTCCCCACCTGAGGTACAACATATGTATACGGGAAATCACGTCTGGAACAATGTTCTGCATCACTGTAATTATAATGCTTGTTTCTACTTAAATTTGCATTTTCGAAAATGAAATAACTCTCAGGTCTCGTTCACTATCCACTCAATGGTACAGCATATATGATTCAGTTATTGGTAATATTTTTCTGTGATTATTGGTGCATGGGTCATGACTATACAGTCTCAAAGAGCATTTCAGTTGATACAAGTATATGAGTATCTCTATATTCTCTGCTATACAGCGTGTATGAAAAAATGGTGACAAAAAATGTATTTCTCAATACATGCATAACTCTGCAAACATTTAACCATTGTTAATGAAATTTAAACTAAAAGCGGTCTTGCTTTCTAACTTTGCTATTCGAGAAGTCGATCACCGCCATCTTTTCGCCCAATGGGCGGGCTGATATTCAATTCGGTTAGTCCCGGATCTATTATTATTGCCCGAACGGGTATAGCAAGTTCAAATACTAGTTTCTCGGAAAGTTTGTTTGTTATTGTGCCTTGTTCCCCTTTTTTTAGGATGGGGTGATCAAGTTGTGCTGCATAAAAAATTACCTAATAAAGATACGTGATTGAAATTTGTGGCGTTATGTTCACCTGCTTCCCACATAAACCCTATCCGTGAGAACAATTTCAATAGTTTTTCTCACCCGAATGTCAAGTGACCGGACGTTGCAACTTAGAAAAAATTCGGAATGTAAATGAGTCGTATTTGGTATGGCATCCCTGTTCCACTTACTTGTACCCTCCGACTTTCGCCATTATTCGCACCGTCGGAAATTTTCGTAGTCTCACAGCCGGGTTCTGCCGCTTAATACCGATTTCCTCCGCAAATTAATTAGCTGGTTTTACGACTTGCTTTAACATTATCTCCGCAATAATGCGTATAGGCGTATCCGCTTTATTTAAGAGTCGACTTTCCACACCATTGCTCTGTAGTTTTACAAAAAGGAACTTACAGGTCATCCGACCTTCTATATATACTATTAGAAACTTCAATACTACTAGTCTAAACAATAAACCGGCACAGATGAGTCACGACAAAGAACTCTTCGATATCGATTATGAGCGAGTGGCTATTCAATGGCAACCATCTGTTGCTCAGCTGTATGAAGATGCTTTGAAATACGAAACGGGGTCTGCTATCTCGTCTGCTGGTGCACTTATAACTGCTTCGGGTACCAAGAAAGGTCGCTCTCCAAAAGACAAACGTATCGTTGATGAGCCTTCTTCGTCGAAGGATGTTTGGGTAATGTATCTAGAAAATTTTTTCTTTGCCATCACTATTCTAGTTGAGTTAGTATCGCATCTTAATCTGTCATTCTGCCTTCATTTGCTCTTGCAATTTGATAGTGGGGACCAGTAAATCAAAAACTCCCCGAACACGTCTTTCTCATTAACCGGGAGCGTGCGATAGATTACTTGAACACTCGAAGCCGCATCTACGTATTCGATGGGTTTGCCGGATGGGATCCAAAATACCGTATCAAAGTTCGAGTAGTTTGCGCTCGTGCGTATCACTCGCTGTTCATGCAGAATATGTTGATTAGACCGACTACTGAAGAACTGAAAAATTTCGGTCAGCCTGATTTCACGATTTACAATGCTGGTGCATTCCCTGCCAATCGATATACAACTGGAATGACATCTACGACTTCGGTTGCTATCGATTTTAACATGAGGGAAATGGTGATACTGGGTACCGAATATGCCGGCGAGATGAAGAAGGGAATGTAAGTACAAGTAGCGAGGGTTTCTCACGCAGCCGTCGATCATATATCACGTGATTTATTTTATTTTATTTATTCCGTTATAAAGTTTCACAGTGATGCATTATTTGATGCCCGTTAAACACAATGTACTCTCTCTCCATTCGTCCGCCAATGAGGGACCAGATGGAGACGTTTCCCTCTTCTTCGGTTTATCGGGTACAGGAAAGACTACACTCTCAGCTGACCCCAAACGTTTCCTCATAGGAGATGACGAGCACTGTTGGTCTGAGGATGGTGTATTCAACATTGAAGGTGGATGTTACGCCAAGTGTATAGACTTGTCAGAAGAGAAGGAGCCCGAAATTTACAATGCTATTCGGTTTGGATCGGTCTTGGAGAATGTAATATATGATCCAAAAACGCGGATTGTCAACTATAATGACAAGTCGTTGACTGAAAATACACGATGCGCTTATCCAATAGAATATATTCCAAATGCCAAGATACCTTGCATATCGTCTTCGCATCCAAAGAATATCATCCTTCTTACGTGCGACGCATATGGTGTTTTACCGCCAGTTTCCAAACTCAGCTCTGCGCAAGCCATGTACCATTTCATTTCTGGATATACCGCAAAGATTGCTGGCACGGAGGATGGAGTAACTGAACCCCAAGCGACGTTCTCGGCATGTTTCGGACAGCCATTCTTGGTGTTGCATCCAGCTCGATATGCCAAGATGTTGGCAGACAAAATGGAGCATCATGCGGCTGATGCATGGTTAGTCAATACTGGATGGAACGGTGGTGCATATGGTGTTGGAGAACGCATTGCTTTGAAATATTCTCGCGCGATTCTCGATGCCATTCATTCTGGGGAATTGGCAAAGGCCGAGTATGAAAACTATGGAATATTCAATCTGCAGATACCCAAAAAAGTAACGGGTGTACCATCCGAAATACTACACCCAGAAACTACATGGAAAGGTAGCAAGGCGGATTATACAGCCACTAGGCACAAGTTAGCAAACCAATTTATCGAAAACTTTAAGGTTTATCAGGAGGATTCGACTGCATCCGCGGTGGTTTCTGCTGGTCCTGTTCTGTAAGAAGAGTATTGTTTCTGGTGGCACATGAGTGTATTTATTCTTCATTCCTGTGCGTGCGATATCTTGATGGACACTTTTGAATAGAATGCAAAAGTTTAATCAATCTAATACATTTCAAAAGATAATTCGTATGATATCTCCGGTTTGTAGAAAAGATTGTTAATAAATAAACATTAGAAGCATTGAAACTATTTTACGAGTTGTTCCGAACAATTCCATTATTGGGAAAAACCTAAATACCAGTTAAAGGAAAACACATCGATTGTTATTGGCTTGATTAAAGTTCACCAAACTAAAACGTTTGATTTTTGTTACACATACCTGTCAAACGTGCTAACCGATTTTGCTCTTAACACATATGTATAATGCAGATAATGTCATTAGCTCACCCTTTTTTACTCCTGGTTTTAACTATCTAACCACTAATGACATACCCCTTGTTACTCTGTGTTAATTATACGGCCTGCGCTTAAAAGTTATTGAATGCCTCGACCCTCAGTGCGAACTAGTTCCCAATATAACTCGACAAATTCATATGCGGAAAGCAAACTATCTGCAGGATCTAAACAAATGACCAAAAACATCACCTATCCTCACCTCGTGTAAACAATATCTTTGTGTATTCCAGAATAAGTTACGCATTCAATGCTACACTGCATATTAATACCGATGATCTTTAAGAATTCCTCATCTATAGAATGCTTGGCTTTTCCTCATCTCTCTGTTTTGTCTCTAGATAGATGCTCAATTTATAGAACGAATAAATTAGATGCTATTAATACCATATAATTATGCCCAACTTAACAAGTCTATCGGCAAAGCATTCGAGCTCATCATGGATTGCAGTAATGTTAGTAATATTCCTATCCACATCGGTAGGCGCAACAGATTATCTCATGTTGGGAACGTATTCATACAGTGAGTGTTATAAACTCGAATTGTCAACAAAACTACCTACTCGTGGTCATAAAATCTCAACACACACTAACTCTTTATTCAACGGCAACAGCACGAGCAAATGACTATCCGATGGATGTTACGTCATATACTATGGCTATAATATTCTTATTAACAGGAGCATTGAGTTTATTCCGTGGTAACAAATATAGATGGCTTTCGATAGTTTTAGGTGGATTTTATACAGCAGGTATGTGAATGCGAGAGATCTACAAACAACGTAAAAGGTATTTTATCTGTTTACTTAACTTTCTTCCTCAATTCAGGGATAATGATAGCTTTGTTCGTTATCAAATTCCAAAATGTTACGGATCCATCAGGTGGCCTCCGTTTTATATATTTAGCCATCAGTATAGCATCAGGTGTAGCTACGGGGCTATTCTTTGTTTGCATGTGGCCGAGTGGACGAGTTCTTGTGGGCGCAATTGGCGGACATGCTTTTTCGTTTATTCTTCTATCGACTCGCACAGATGGACTGATACGAAGTCATATACCAAGATATATTTTTATGGTATTATTCATTGTGTTATTTGGAGGAGCAGCAGGATGTAAGAGAATATATCCATATGTGGCTATCGTGTCAACCGTATTCACCGGAGCTTATTTAATAATGCTTGGGGCCGATATATTTGCAAGAGCTGGTTTATTGGCCGGATATAAATATTTGTGGGGATTCACACAGCCGGATGATTATAGATATACTGCAGAAAAGGACAATGGCATAATCTTATTGACAGTTGGACTTGTAGGCACATCAATCGGCCTTTTCGTACAAACATATGAGCTGTGGTACTCAAACAAAGGCTTTCCTAGTATCAGACGGGAAAATCCCGAAGATCCAGAAGATCCAGAAAATCCAGAAAATCCAAAGGTGCCCCCGACCGCCGATGTTGATACGTCAAGATCTGCGAACCGCAATGACAATGGCAATCGATTATCAACCGGTGCCGGCGTTGGTCATGCTAGGAGAGAGTCACGTGAAATATTACCGTGGGGAATGGTATCTTCCACGCTGGCGTGGACAATGGGAAACAGGGCGTCCTATTTTGGCAGGGCGAATATAGGCTGGGATTTGAGGTCTATTGCTACAACTGAGAGATCGACATATGGTGGATCAAATAAGGAGTAATGGACCCGGATATTGTACAGTATTTATTAACAAAAAAGTATATTTCCAAAATAATCCATTCAGACACGCACCATTTAATAACAATAAAAACATTTAATCTGCTTTTGTGTAATCATTCCTATTATTGAAAAATCTCAAAAAATAACACTTTGTGGAATCAAGACAATTTACAATAATTTGAAAAAGTTCAAAAAGAAAAGGGGGGGGGGGGCTAAAAAGGATTAATTATTATTATGGTGAAGCTTCTAAAATTTAGGATCATATATACTATCTTTTTAACCAGAACTGTTACGATTACGGTTAACGGTATTAAGCCATTTTTAAAGACATACTATATTTATTGATAATAGTACTGAATTGCCAGTTATACACATGTCAACCAAGGTTTTTTAGATTAACGTTTGGTGCTTTTGCTTTCTTCTTAATCGATTTAGTTGATTTTAATTTGGTGCTTAAAAGTAGAAACGCGTATGTGTGATTAGTGGGTTAGAGATTAGTAGTATTGCAAGCATAGATGAGGCCCTAATATATCGCTTTTAATCTAGAATCAGTGTATTGATTTAAGCGATAGCATATTTCTGACACTTGTCGTGCGGTAAAAATAGCTTCCCGAAGATATTCTTAAAACAATTAAAGATTGTAACGCTAAAAATTTGTGCTCAACACTTAATATTAAGCAAAAGGCAAATTAAATTATGAGAATTTATTAACTTAACTTTGTTCATTCATAACGAGAATAATTAATTTTATTCAACGGTAAATAAAATTTTTTTTTCTTACTTTTTGCGATGCACACTAAAACTCTAAATTAACAGTTACCCTATTTCCTTTGTCAAGCATAAATAACATACTCAACACAACAACACCCTTCAAAGATGGAATTTTTACGCTTTATATATAATATCGCGTCTACTAATTTCCTCTAGTGTGACTCGATTATATTGTGTCATGACTCAGTTTCGATAGTGTATAACTTTATTATATAATCGTTTCATCATAGTTTTCCGGCTTGTATTCGGGTTGTATTGCGTAATTTATGACGTTAGGTTCGATCTTATTTATTATTATTATTATTATTATACACAAATTAATAATCTCAATTAAAATCTATAGAATTTTGGGCATGTCTTTCTCAAATGGATGCCTAACTGGCCATGAAGTACCATATTTTTAGTAGTCCATTCTAGTAAGGCCCTTTTTATAATCTACAATTTATTGCTACAAACTATGTGAGTGGGTTGAATTTTTCTTTCACGCACTCAAAAAGACACGTGACTCGTTTGTTTTGACTATAATAAAAACCACGTGGAGAGCTCTCAGGATTACTAGTCATATGCATAACAAGACATCTATTGTACAGTATATGCTCATATTGTCGATGAGATCATCATTCAAGAGAATTTCTTATTCAGTTTATGAGAGGCTTCCAGGCCATGTGCGAAAACTGACCTTGGGTATTACTTTCTGGACTTAATTTACGTATGTCAAGTATGTCAAATAGCGTGTACATAGTTCACCCGAGAATTGCTACGCGAAAAAAACAAAATGTCAAAACCGTATATGGCGAACCAACAAGAAGACGTTGGCTGTGTCGATTACTCGCTTCTTATGAATTACAATTAATATATGGTATGTCAAATTATTATACCGTTATTCTTGCGAAACTTTAATATTAAGTCTTCCCGACATTATCAAATACATGCCTGCTCGGTATTGGAGTTTGCATCCACGGTAATGGGAATAACGCATGAAAGTAATAAATAATACGAGATGGTAACGGCTAGCTTTGCCAACAGCAAACACAGTAACACAGATACTCTTTTCCTAGTATAGTATTCAGACATCTCCTTTTCTCATAACTTTCCTATCAGTATTATTGGCCGTTCGTGCTAGAGCAAGACTACAAATGGTATGAGGGGGAAAGGGAATGAGGAAAAAAGCCACCACTTATTACTTTATAGACATTCGTTGTTAAATTTACAGAATCTTCTCTACATCAAACCAAAGGATATACACCCCAGTTACCAATATCTAATAAATATACTACAGCCATATATTTTCTATATGATTTACCGGTGAAATACTTTCGAATTCCATTATACATCTGGAAAATACAAACAAAATCAGTAAATCGTTTCATCAATGAGAAAGTTGTCCTAATATGTATCATAAATTAACTTACCCATAATTTTCGTCTGCATTAGCAATATATAAGCCCTCCGTATCTGGCGTGAAAGAAACACCAGCAATCTCACCAAATATATCTATAACTTGAGATCGCTCAAAGGTCTTCGCATCAAATACATGAACAAAGTCAGCAGGTTCTATAGAAACATAATAGGATGTTAGCTAGGAATGTATTCGCTGATATGTAAAAATCAATCAAATACTTACCTGCCATGGCCATATAACGGCCGTCTTCCGAAAAATGAAGGGACCGGACTGCCCCCAGTCTAGCACCCAGCACCCCCAGAGTCGTGGACATTTTTCGCACATCGTACAATCTACAGTTGAACAAGTTTAAAAATTGGTATTTCGGAGGTCAATAGTATAAACACATGCTTAGCGTGTATGTTGTCGTGCTCACCGTGTAGTTTTATCTTTGCGTACGTAAATCGAATACAAAATCACAGTTAGTTTACAAGGTTGACTCTGCTTAAACATAGGATCAGTCATCAACTTACCTTGATTCCCTGTTGCAATAAGCAGGCCATCCGGACTCCAGCAGCAAGCAAAGGAATAGTCCAAATGACCGACCAGCGTTGTAATGTCTATAAAAATCGAATTTATAACTTAACATGTTTTCTTCAAAATATCACGATATGGAATATAAGTCTATAACGACGACATACTTTGACCACTATTAGCATCGACGATTTTTGTTTCAACATCGTCTCCGACAACGCATAACATACTCTTGTCTGGACTGACAGCTGTGCACTATGAAGAAAGAAGCATAACCAGTGAGCAAGCGATGCCTTGCAAATTTTGTAAATAAATTGACATAGCATATATAACATTTTTGTGGCTTTAAAGTGGTCAGCAATGATATTTACGTTAACTGGCCAGTCAAATTCGTAAATGTTTGTGAACTTCAAAGTTGCCAAATCCATTATCCGTGATTTTTGGTCGTTACTCGAAATAACTGCAACAATGGCTGTACCGTCCAATGTGATGCAACTTGTTAATTGGCGGTCGTAAATTCATTATCTACGCCAAAGTCATCATTAGAACTTAAACTCACGTCCAGCGCGGGATTTAATAATGTCTATGTGGTTAGTTATTCCATTATTATCTTCTGTTATGACGTCGTGATGTATGGTTGTAGAGTCCAAACGTCGACATGCATATTCGCCATATAAACCTGAAAGAATCGCAAATCTAAGTATATGCTATACGTAGCATAGAAACAAGTCCGTACAAAATGGTAATATACCTCCGGCAAGCAAAAAATCATATTTGCATGCTATTGTACTTATGTCAAAGCTGTGCTGTGGTCGCCCAAGAGGTTGAGAGTCCAGCTCGAACCTTGTTTGTTTCCGTATTGAATTCCAATGACCTATTCGTGTTCCATCTAATCAAGTCAGAGTAAGTAATCAGCCATCAGTTCTTCCCGCCGTTACATGCACAACAAACTCGAAGAACAAAGACACCAAACTTGTAAAGTAGACGTCGTTTCTAGTGGTTGCCCATAACAAATTTCGCAATTGGAAATGTACAATCGAGCATTTATGTGTGAGAGTCGTGTATTTGAATTTGTAATATTGGCCATCAGTCTGAACCGGTTTGAGATCCTAGCAAACAAATATCAACAGCTTAACTCTTATATATAAAAAAACAGAAAAAAACAGACATAACATCAAGGATATCGATAAATAGAAACATACCTCTCGTGTGAGATTATTCAACTTTGGAACAATATTCTCATAATTCATGTATTCTGCAAGACTTTTAACCAATTTATTTTATGCAATGGTAAAATTTAGGAATGGATGATGATATATGGAATTCAAACGATCAGTCTATAATAAGTACGAACCGGACTTCACGATATCCGTCACGAGTCACATTAAAAGCCTCCCAGGTTATTCCTTGCTGCAGTAAAATCGTGAGTCATGCATAATGACGCTTACCTTGTCACACACAAATTCTCCCACATACCATGTCGACACCATTTTCCACATCTTGGGCCGTTACTTCTCGAATCTATTGTCATAAACCATGAATGCGCATAAGTTACCGTTTGGAAGATTGAGAGAATCTAAATAACACTAAATCGCACGACAAATCAAAGATTCTTACGAACCGACAAGAAAGATCGTTTTCGTTCTGCGTAAACGGGTTCTCGGGCTGCGTAATTTAGAAGAAAAGAGTATGAAGCATGCAATCACAGAAAAAAGAACCAAATACAGCAACATGGACTTACGAGTCCACTCGCAGTGCAAATGATCCGGTATACAGTTGAATACCGTTTCGTCAGATTGCAGTGGTTCGGTTCGATCGCCCATTTTATAATTAGAGCGTTGCTTTGATTAAACGAGTTAAGCAGTCGTAGAGTTGTCTTGCAACAAGGGGGGTAGAATCAAATAATACTGTTAGCGTAACTTATTTTCCTGGCTAATAAAATCATGTAATACTCTAGATAGAATACCTAAAGCAGGTTAAGTAAATTGGGAACCGCGCGAACAATTCAATGAAGGGGAAAGAAGTCCCACGGAAGGTTAAATGGCGCATGACCTCATAATGCATTGATATACAATATTCTAGCATTGAATAATATCAATTTGGTCACACGATATGGGGATTTGTTTACGCCACATCGGAAACGCTGGTGTCCACTAAAAAATATAGAAGTCTTTTATGGAGATGAACTCGCGCACTACAACAAACAGTAACACTGCTCTGTATTCCTCCTTAATATCTGTCTCAGAAGTGCTGTTCGAAACTTGTCAGTCAGCTCATTAATAATTTTAGAATGCGGTTGGTTTCGTCATAACTGATACTACCAAGTAACACCTCACAACGTTAATAGTTTGACTTCAGATTACGGGTGTATAGAACCGTACCATTGCATTATTGATAAGCACCAACTATCACATATTGTATTTAATACAGCCTCGTTTGCAAAGGTACAGTACAGAATTTCACGCCATACCGTTAATATTTGCGGTATCATCCCACCAACTCTGATACTTAGTTACTTTAGAGAGTCGGCGCTGTGACTCGGGGAAGAGGACATTCTTGTGGAATTTGAATGCAAAATAATAAAATAGTAGAAGCAACGTACGAGTTCAAGAAATAGGGAGTGGTGTAGGTAGAGGAAAAGGGCATATTTATCTGTCTTCAAATGGCCATTACTCCTCACTTTGACTGACATACTTGACTCTTTAGATTCGCAATAAAGTTAAAGAAAAAGATGTAGTCTATAAGAATATGGTACCTATCATAATACACGTACATACAGTAACCCCAATAATAAATAAAGCAAAATGTGCAAAAATCTAAAATTTTTACATAATAATAAAAAAGATTTTTAAATGCACATTATTCTTCAACCACACATCCTTTAACTACGTGTTTTGACTTATTAAATATCCAGGACAAGATAAATTACTTTATTAATGGCCAGATTAAAATTGCAAATAGCTAGTAATAATGTTCTCAAATGCATCACAAAGAATCTACCATTTGGGGAAGTGCTAACTGGGGATTTTAATTTTTTGTTATCTATGCTAGCGTTTCTCAGCAAAGAAAGTTGTAGTTAAAGTTCTTTCTTTTCTTAATCTTTTTATGTATAGTAAACTAGATAAAAGAATATTAAACAATCCTGTAGAACTTTTTTCACTGACATGCCTCTGGACATTAATAATAATTTCAAATCTTATAATCTACAACTTTATTGCGGCAGATTAAAATAAATAAAAAATTCCCCGAGACGAGCTTATGTTTTGAGCCGATTCAAGAGAAAAGCCAACCAACATCATGACACTTCTGCAATATAATTTCGCAACCGTTATTTTTCTTCGATTTAACTAAATTGATTACAATTTCATCAGGAATATTATTCCGCTCCTCTACCATCACTCTTTTCAAATCTTTTTTTCACATTCCGTATTATTAAATAATTGGAACGCTGTCTCGTAAGTGAAGACAGTTTCTTTTTTGCGCCTACTCTAGATGAACTCCTATGTGCTTTTCGGTGAGCATCGGTGTTTAGGCCGGCTTTTTTTTTATATTCCCTTGAAAATACCGGCCTACAGATCGATACGAAACAGCAATGCTATTTTCCTTGGTGGAATTGAAGAATCATCACGTATTGTTTAATTACTCTAGTCACATTATTATCCCTTCTTTCACATCCACGTATTGTATAGGGTGACATGTCGATTTACTTGATTCTGAAATAAAACATTGTGTACACGACGCGTTTTGTGCTAGAGATATGTGGACAGGAAGTTATTATAAAACGACAACTTTTTTGCCACATACTGTAATTCGTTATTGAGACATGATTAATTCGTTCGTATACTACTTCATCACAACACAATCTATTACTATTGACTATAAAGCCTATCAATCGAAACTCAATGATTAGATGCAAAGTAGTTCATTCGCTTGACTTTGTCAAAAAATCGTTATTATTATATGAATGCAGTGATTTGTCAACTGCCTATATATTCTATATGTACACCTCATCGTTCTAATCAGGACGCCCAAAAATTAGCCAAATCCTATCATCAAGGACAAACGCTCTCCCAATAGGCAGCTTCATATTATCTAAGCAGCCACAAGATACAATTCTAAATTATACCTTTTGAGGACATCGAACATTTTGCCATCAGATTATATTATTTATTATATGTATATTTGTATTACAAAGTGACGTTATTAATTTATAAAGACTATATTAAAATATATACAACCGTCTTAGTCTTTTGTTGTTGGTTTTTTGAGCCAATTCCCCTTGCTTTCTTTATACTAGCTTTTTTTTTTCACATTAATCATATCGGGGTTTGCATTTTCTGGACCAAAAGAAATATTACTAATAAACAAATTTACACAAGCTTTGGTCCCGTAAATACGTATTTTTTCCCTATTGAAATGTTTTTTCTATAGAAAGTGGGGTTGGCGTCCATAGTATTCCTAATGAATGTTCCAAACATTAGTCTACTTAAGTTTCCTCTCGGGAATTTTCGAATTTACTTCACACTCCGAATGAATAGTATTGATGGATATTACTCAGTCTCTCGGGACCCGTCGCGGTGATATCCAATTTTCTTCCATGAACTCGGTCCGCTCTGACCCCATCTTTTCTTTCCATCTTGGCGTAATACCATCTTCGTCCATAATTCTTTACTATCTCCCAACCGGGAAGAGTGCCCAATTTGCCCAACAATGCCTGAGACAATTCGATTGTGTGTATTTGATGCAATTCGTTTTTGATCAGATTGGACAATAGCGTGTTCGTTGTGATTAGGTTTAGACAAGGAATGTTTGTCAAGTCGACATATTCGAGTTGAGGCATCGAAGAAAGAAAATCTGTGATGCACGCGAGTGAAGTGATTGGTGCGTTGGCAATTCCAAGTTTTTTCAATTTTGGTGAACAATTCTCTTTAACAGCGCGCAGTACGCTCGGCATGATGTAAGTCGATCCGATATCCAATGTTTCGATATTCTTCATAATCGGTAACCTCATAATACGAATTAAGCTTTGTTCAGTCAATGCAGTGGTGACCGGTCTGTCCGCATACACGTTCAAGTTAACCAGCGACTGACATTGCTCGATGAAACTCGCGATACCCTCAGATGACAGGGCCTTACACTTGGCAATCGACAAATGTGTCAACTTGTTTGGAATATTGGTATGGTCCATCATGAATCGCAATGTAACGTCTGTAATCGAACATCCACCCACGTCCAAGTGGGTAAGATTGGGTGAGTGAGAGAGAAGTGGAATAATGACGTTGTACTCGCCCAGGGTTGTGCATTCGTGTAGAGATAGCCGTTTAATGTGTGGAAAGAGAGAAGCGGGAGCGACAAACTTGTAGCCGAATTCGTCGTAGGTTATTTGAGTTCTGCCCATTTGTGCGGTCAGCCTATTCATTGCGTCAGTGAAGGTTTTCCTCGAACATCCGCAAAAATCGATTGTCTTGATGTTTGTGCATTCAAAGAATAGCGTTTTCAACACATCGAAAGTGAGAGCTTCCTCCAGAGACTCGGAAACAGACAAGGATTCCAAAAAGGAGCATGCGCGGAATATTTTGATCAATGTGGCTGGATCGACTATGTTCTGCAATGCTGCGTAACTCTTTTGTAATCCTATGGTTGAGAATGCAGACAGGTCAAGGTGTTTGATCCATTGAGTGCGATAAGTTGGATAATTGATGGTATCCGCAAAGAGCGAAAAGTTGTACGGGAATGTAAAAGAAACGGTCGAATAAAGTATTGGAGTAACATGGAGATTAAAGGTGCTGTTTACTCGGGCACAGGCAGCAAGTGCTTGCCTGTCGTCTTTGAGGAAGGAGAGAACGACCCGGATGATTTCGGGAGGAATGTACGGAATGCGAGTGGGGTTGATAATGAGAGCGGGAGATTGAGCAGGATCGAAGATGTTGTCGGTGCAGGAGCGGAGTAAAACTGCAGACATTGAAGATAAATTGTGGATTGCAATAGTGTATAAAAAACTTTTATCAGCTGTGATTGAATCGATAACTTTGTTATTAAGGTTATCAGCGAAGATCAAAGTGGAGAAGCATGGGTTTGGGAGCGGGCTTTATATATTCGAGGGAGAAAATAAGCCGAATGGGGGATATTGTATATGTATGCATTACCGATTGATTAACGTAATATATTATCCTTGTTGTGTATTTTTCGTAGACAATATGACGGCAGCTTTTCATGTCGGTTATTTGAGTATAAACAAACATAATTATGTCATTGAATCACCATTGTCATGATAAGTGGCTGCTGTGTCTGCCGGTTGCCGAATATGGATGCATCGCATCAAGCGATACAAATAAGGCAGTTAATAGTGATAATTGAATACAATAGGAAATTATAGTACGGTGTATGCGTTGCACAATAATAATAATAATACAGTGGACTTGCATTGTGGGGTATGCTATACGCAGCACTAATATGTTTATTGTTATTGGATTACCATACTATCCATCATACTATGAAAGAACTGCTCCTTATGGTTGTCCGAATCACAACAAAGATGCTGTTTCTCACGCCATTGTCACTAGTTATTACATTATAGGATGATCCCGATTTAAGCAACTACTATGATTGCTTGTCTTCTATTTATTTCAAGGTACATGTAATAGGAGTGTATACATGCATGCATATTCGTGGGAACGTTCATAAATCGGGAAGCCGGCAATTATCTGATTCTTTTATCCAATAAAGATTGAGAATTCGAGTGCATTCATATGCGTTATTCTAATTGGCGGATGTTTTCCAGAAACAAGAGAGAGAGAGCGGAGAATGCCAGAATAGTCAATTTGAATGGGACATTTTTATTACCTGATTTCACTGCTGTTGATTAGTCACCACCGGTTGGTCGAAACTTTTAAGCATCGGCCCGGCGTAGACACTGAGGGCTGACTGTTATTTCATCAGGTTTATTCAAGAAGAAGAAAAAAAGTTATGGCTGAAGGTTTTGGATGCGCCAGCGTCGCTTAAACTATTGTCCGATGGGCTTAATACAATATATTGTCGCTATACGAAATAGACGCATAGTTTGTATTGGCACTGTAAGGATGTAGCACTACAAATCAATGTCCGTTGCTTAATGATTAATACATTCGATCGAATCATCACAAATTTAATCAAAGATTTATGATTTAGAATACCCTTTTTGATTATTTTACTCCTTCTATGGAGAAGACTCTACAACAGAAGCGTTGCAGGTGATAATCAATTGGACGACTGAAATGGGGACATGACATCTTATGACACGGTCTTTTGTCTTTAATTTTGGGTGACATCTTATTGGATCTACGGATTAAAATTATTTCTTTTTTGTCATCTTTTTTGTTGGGGGAGGGGAAAGGAGTGGGGGGCTTTTTTTCACTTCCCGCTCTGCATATCTAATATTTGGAAACAGCCCGATCCGTTGTTATACAGAATATCCATTTAAGCATTAATAATGTTTTTATTTACATAAACCGTTTAATACGGCCGATAAAATAATAATGCTATTATGTTTGTTGTATTACTGATGATGTATATAAATCATCCAAACAATTTATTCTGCCGACATATTATTGTAACGTGGCTTCCCATTATATTATCCTGTTCGTACGACCGCCTCCTCGTTCATACAACCAATTATCTGATATGGCGCTAATTTTACCCTTTGTTTGGGATGTACATAATTTATATCTAAGGTTGTCTTGATCATCTTATCTCCATGACACATGAAAGCAACAATATTAGACTAATGCGCTGCTTGTTATGGAGTCGAAAAGTGTGGGGTAGAATAGGCGTAATTACCGATTGTCCTGTCGATGGTAAGTAAGTACAGCATATGCATGGTCCATTGGTACCAACGGCAAGTAGAAAATAAAAAGTGCTAAAAATGGCGGGTAGTGATCACCGGAAAAAAGAAAGAAATAGAAAAAATTCACATTGATAATATTAATAGATTAAGGCGGCTAACTATATAGATTATAAGATGGTATACATAACATACACCCTGTGCGATGTATACAGACTATAAATACTATCAAATATATACAGACTATACATGTGATGCAATTTATACACTGTAGTCTCTCTTTCATTTTGTAGTCGTCCCCATTGAAACAATGCTCCTTACACCCACATTAATCAATTGTTAATTCCCCACCTCCCAAATCTTATATATTCTGTGCTCCAACGTGACCCATCTCTCCTGAATAATTGGGAGCACATTGCAGTGTGCATGATCAAGAATGACTCACACCACCAAAGTCATTTATGTTCCATATTAACCAATCTACCAATTAAAATCTATTAGGCGCAATATAACAAAGTAATTCGACGACACACAGGAGAATGCTCAAAGACTATCATTAGATTTAATATTTATGGTCACATATCCAGGAAACCACCGAAAACAGGCAACAGTCTTTACTCCCGACCAGTAGTGAAATAAATGACAAAATCTTGCTTTCAATGCTCTTTGTTACAAACGATATCAATTTGATATTCTTTGAATAATATACCGTGTGAACAGTAAAGTTGTTGTCTATTGATATCGAATGATCGTTGATGTGAATTTGCCGTTATGACCTTTTTGTCTTTTTCTGGTTAGTTGTTATTAATAGTAAAAACATATTGAATTCGCATTGGCCGACAATATAATTCTAAGATTTTAGTTTTCATCAGGTTTCTATGCAACTGTAATGTAACATTCTGAAATCAGCCATCAACATATTTTACTGTAGGAATGGAAGTTTACTTGCAGTCTTCTGGACCCGTCATAGAGACAACCGATCCCACGCCTGAAATGCACAAGCCAGCCAGCCAACGTACATTTACGTAATATGTGATCAGCACACTCCTCCAAAGCACTTTCCGCTATTACTAATGCTCTCTCTCGCAGATATTGTGATGAAGGCTTAGTGGATAATTGACCAATTTTTACTTTTTTGGCCATATTAGTATTAGTATTATATCAAACGTAAATTGAAACAGACTTTTTATCTGTAATTGTAACATACTTAATATAGAATTATATATATAACAGTAATATGAAACAGCACTATTAGAAGTATTGTAAAGAAAGAACAAGGTTTAAAATGAAATTTACCAAGAAGAACGAAAAATACAAAGCAATAAACGAACATTATCTGATGAACCAAGTAAAAAACGAAAACTAGAAGAAACGTAAAGAAAAGCAAGTTTAACATAAAAGTTCCCACTAAGGCCTCACTGATTGAGCGACCTATCAACGAAAGATCATTCCTTATAGTATTTGACTTCGTTGAGCTTTGATTCGCATTTCGCTATCTTGACACAATTGCAACCAAAGAGTCAAAATTACATAATAACATTTTTAATATCTTTATTATGAAATGCAACTGCTCTTGAATATAACAATAGAGCACCAGAGTGATTGCATGAGGATAATATTTGGATCTAAAGCCATTTATGAGTATAACTATTCTTTGGTCACTCTGATGTCAATTTAAATTTCAATAATATTATCACTATTATTTTTATTTTTTTTCAGTTTTAGGTTTACTTCCCTTCATCAATCCAACATTGAATTACCACAATGGTTTTTTCCCGTGGATTGTTCTCTGTAGGTAAAAGTTTTGTATTATGAAGGCTACGACAGCCCTCCCTTCGCCAAGTAACTTCTGAAGTTCAACCGCCATTTTAAAAATTTTAGTTCTTTCGTTCGTATAATTGTCTTGGGTCCTTCCACATTTTTCAATATCTAGCGAGTAAATTCTGTTCACTGGCGGTCTTGTTATTGGTCGTAACTTTCTAGTCTTAATTAATATTCCCTTATCGTAGAGTTAGCTATTATAAATCATGCCATTCAGCCACAGGCCGAGAACGAGCCAATAAGTACTCCGAAAAGAATCCACTCGGGAAATTAAGCACTTTTTGCGAACGTTTATTGTTAGTTTGGATTTTGTTCAAGCAAGGTAAGCTTTACATTTTACAAAATTTATTGCGTTCGGTGTGATTATTCTAAATGTAAGCAAATGGTTTTGTTTCATAGAAAACATTTATTTATTTACTAACGAACGCGTGGAAACAATAGTAATAGCAGTAATTGTGTAAACATCTATAGAAGATTTTAAATACGTCATGAGTTAAACCACTGATCTGCATTATACAAGCGGCTTTCGATAGGAAAAAAAAAGGCCTATAAGAAATATTTTTGCTGGACCTGATTTAAAATCTTATAACAAATAACTCTCGTAATGAAAGAAATTTGTTGGGTGCGACCACTTTCTTATATCGAGAACCGCTTGTATTAGCATCACGTCGCGCACAACGCATTTTCTCATCACAACAACGAACAAAAAAGGCGACTATCTATTTTTCTTCCCCATAGTTGCAGCAATTTCCAAATATTAAGTAGGTCAGATTAAATCAATTGTCAGTTTTTCATTAGCATTAAACTATCTGTCATTCCACTTTTACTCGTCCATCAATGTTTGTTGTGTTTTGTTTTTTTAGATCTGATTCAGTATGGCTAGTTCTTTCATTAAGATGGGGAGGCACTTGTGACAGCTGAGAAATTTTAGAACAAAGAGAATTTGCGACAGAAGATACATGTACATACGCAATACAGTCGAACCCCGTTATAACGAAATGCGCTATAACGAATTTTTGTTATACCGAAGCAAGTGTTCCTCTCCCTTTTTTTTCAATATTTAAGTTTGATCGTTATTACGAATTTTAATAGTAAACCTCGTTATTCCGTTACCGAAGTTCGGTTGCAGGATTTTTGTATAT